TGAGACGGAGGGGTAGGGTCAGGGGACAGCGGAGGAGACACAGGAGGGGAACGAGGAGGAAGACGGGCCGGAGACGAGTCTGGCGGCGGGAACACAGGACCGTAGACAGAAAGGTCAGGAGGCGGTGGGGGAGACACCGGCGCGCGGTCCGGGGAGGGAAGGCCGAGCAGGCGGAGAGCGGAAACCGGCGGCGACGGCTGCTGCGGCGGCGACGACGGCTGGGCCGGAACTCTCGGACCAGCAGAGGCAGAACGACCGTCGGCAGAACACTCAACAGCAGCACCCCCAGAACCAACACCCCCAGAGCGAGAACCCCCTCCAACACCAGCGGCACCCCCAGAAGCCGCAGGACGAACACCCTCCTCCACACCAGCACCCCCAGGGGCCGAGAGCAGCGGCGGCAGTGGCGGCAACGGCTGCGGCGGCGGCGACAGCGGCGAAGGCTGCGGCAGCGACAGCGGCGCCGACGGCGACGACAGCGGCGACGGCTGCGGCGGCGACGGCGACGGCGGCGGCAGCGGGGTCGGCGACTGCGACAGTGGGGGCGGAGGCACCGGGGAAGGGGGACGCGGCAAGGACGGACCGGGGGTACCACCAGAGTCAGCAGACTCCTCAACGGGGACAACCGACGGGAGGGGAGTGACGTGGGAGACACCAGACGGGGCAGGACGAGGCGGGAGAGGGGCAGGGGCTACCGGGGGAGAGGGAGCAAGGAAAAGGGGGGGGGCAACTGGGAGACCTCGGTGAGGGAAACGGCGGTAGAAGGAGACGGACTCGTCAAAGGTGACGTCACGAGAGTGGAGGAAGCGGTGAGACGGCGGGTGGTAGAAAAGCCAGTCAGACGAGTCCAGGGGGAAACCGAGGAAGACACAGGGGACAGTGCGGGCAGTGAGCTTGTCCGTGCCAGAGGCACGAACGTGAGCAAGGCAGCCCCAGACGTGGAACGCAGACGCGTCACCGGGGGACCCGGTCCAAAGGAGGGTCGGCGAAACCTGCGGCCGCTGGGAGCGTGGCCACAGGTTAAGCTGGTGAGCCGCGTAGCGAACAGCGAACGGCCACAGAAAATGGGGGGCATCGGCATGGATCATGGAGGTACGGGCGACCTCCATGACCAAGCCGATGCGGCGCTCAGCAACCCCATTCTGCTGTGGCGAGTCCGGCAACGTGTACGACTGGGTGATGCCCTCCGCACGACAGAACTGTCCAAGCCGACCAGAGGCGAACTCGCCGCCACGGTCGGAGTGGAGACACAACACGGGGAGACCGCGGTGGAGACGCGCAGCCACAACCCACGGGAGAAGAACGTCGGGCACGTCGGCCTTCCGCTCCAGGGGAAACACCGTGGTGTAGCGCGTGTAGTCGTCGACGAGCACAAGGAAGTAGCGCTCACCGCGCGGTCCGGGGACGGGGGCAGGGCCCCAAACGTCCAAGTGCAGGGTCTGAAGGGGGGCAGTAGCAGGACGCAGCGAGGAGGAGTGAGGAGCACGGCGGAGCCGACCCTCGACGCAAGGCGTGCACGGTGGCGCAGTCGAGGGAGGAAGGGTAGGGAGCGACGCGGGGAGACCTAAGACAAGACCGTGCTGGGACATGTGACGCAGACGCGGGAGAGCAGGGTGACCTAAGCGGTGGTGCCAGAGAAGGGAGGGGTGAGTGAGGGACCGACACGAGCAAGCTGCAGCGACCTGGGAGGACGCACCAACCGGGGGGGAAGCGGTGTTTAGGGTAAACAGACCGGACACCGGGTCCCGGGGGAACGTCGCAAGGGGGGAACCTGAGACAGCCTCAGAACAGACAGCGAACCGCTCGTGCCCGGGGAACGTGGTGGTGACGCCGAGGTCCTGGAGACAGCCGACACCAACCAGGTTCCTGGAGAACGAGGGAACGTGGAGGCCAGTAAGGGAGCCCGAGGGAACTGCCGGACAGGGAAGGGACGTAGAACTGCGCGCGACGACCGGACCCGCAGAGGGGTCAGCGAGAGAGACAACAGCAGGTGCAGCAAGCGGCGTGAGCGTGGAACGGTCGCGGAAGAAGCAGGCAGAAGCACCAGAGTCGAGAGTGAAGGACAGCGACGCAGTGGCGGAGGCCGGGGACGGAGCCGGTGCAGCGACTAGACTAGGCAACCTAGGCAGTCCTACGCCTGTCGCAGCAGGGGAAGCTAAGCTACACAAGGGTGAAACACCTAAACTAGAGTACACAGGGTAGTAAGATCCAGCAACACTAGAAGCGTCAGCATACAAAGCATGCAAAGCAGCACCTATCTGATCCATGTCTAACTCAAAGATCGGCACGCCCTGGCGGAGCAGGCTGTGCCAGTCAGGGAGGTCCGGGGCCGGGCCAAAGCGACGACGAAAAAGATCGTCGAGGCGGCGGAAACAGCGGGCGGTCGGGTGCGGGCGGCGGCACAGAGTGCCGCGGAGAGGCCCGGTCTGAAGCTGGTACTGGCAGGTCACAGCACTGGAGCCGCTGGTAGACGCCAAGCTGCGCGGGCCGCCACCACGGCCACCGCCTCCGGAGGTGCCGGGCCAACCTGGCGGGAGACGAGCCCACGGCTGCGGCGGGTGCTGCCGGGACGGCGGCTGCGGCTGGGGCTGGTCCTGCTGCTGCTGGGGCTGCTGCTCCTGCCCACCGGTGGTAGTCCCCTCAGGCGGACTACCGTCACCACCACCATGACCACTACCACCTGCGTCGCCACCCCTACCTCCCTGGCGGCCACGGCCACCGCGACGCGAGCGCTGCTGCGGGTGGACAGCAGCAGCCGTCTCGGTAAGAGGGGTCGCCGTGGCGACCGCAGCCGAAACGTCAGTGAACGTGCACTGGGATGGGGCACAGCCGTGAAAGATAGAGACTGCCGGCGCACCGCTCGACTGAGCGATAGTGCGCTGGCGAGTCTCGATCTCAGTGAGGGTGTCGACAAAGGCGGTCAGGGTGAGGTCACTCGGGTGCTGGCTAAGAAAGTGGTCGCGAGCACTAGCGAGGCGGTCTGGCAGGCGCATAGCGATAAAATAGAGCGTCATGCAGAAAGGAGGGGGGAGCGCAGTGAGCTGGGCAGCAGTGCTGGCAGTGCGATAGCGAGTCTCTAGGGCACGCAAATGAGTGGCAAAATCTGCGACAGTAGGGAAGGCAGCCAGGTCTGGGAACAGCATCGGAAAGAGCAAGCGGCCAGCAGAAGCGGAGGCAGGGGTGGAATAGCGAGGAATAACGGCGTCTAAATAAGCTTTGGCCGTTTCAACAGTAGCAAAACGCGAGCGCTCAAACACAGGGAGGGCGTGACTAATAGCAACCTGAGCTACTGCATCGCGTGAGTCCCAGACCGCACAGGCAAGCGCAGCAGTAGAGAAAGCCTCACGGTCATCAGAGGAGGGGTCAGCAGGGAGGGGAGTAGGTGCAGGGGGACGGGGGAGCAAGCCATCAGCATGGACAACCAGAGAGTGGCCATCTTGGCGCTGACCTGTAAGCTGGCGGCGGAGATCGGAGAGCCAGGCGGCGAAGTCAACCGCGTGGCCCTCAGCGTTTAGGCGGAGCACAAAGTCAGCCATCGTGCAGGGTCAGCGGCACAGCTCCTCAGCGACACAGCGGCACAGCAGCACAGCTTCTCAGCGGCACAGGAGCACAGCGGCGCGGGGACACGGCGGCAGCACTCTCCAGTAGGGCAGTAGCTAGGCGTCCCAGCGCAGGCGAGCAGAAGACACAGGGCCCGAGAGGACACGGCAGGCCGAGCAGGGGAGGCGGGCAGGTGCTCTGGGGCCGGGCTGGTGCTGGGAGGGGCCAGGCTGGTGCTGCTGGGGCCGGTCGGGCACGAGGAGGGGCCGGGCAGCGCTGAGGAGAGGCCGGGCGGCGCTAGGAAGGGGCCGGGCGGCACTAGGAGGAGGCCGGGCGGCACTAGGAGGAGGCCGAGCGGCACTAGGAGGAGGCCAGGCGGGCGAGCGCTAACAGCAGGCGCGACAGGGGCCAGCGGGCGCGACGGGGCCTAAGGGGCGCGACGGGGCCCAGCGGGCACGACGGGGCCCAGGGGGGGCGCGACGGGGCCGAGGAGGCGCGACGGGGACCAGCGGGCACGACGGGGCCCAGGGGGGCCGCGACAGGGCCTAACGGGCGCGACGGGGGCCAGGGGGGGCGCGACGGGGCCTAGCAGGCGCGACGGGGCCTAGGAAGCGCGAAGGGGCCCAGCGGGCGCGACGGGGCCTAGGAGGGGCGCGACGGGGCCGAACGGGCGCGACGGGGCCCAGAGGGGGGGGACGCGACGGGGCTTAGGAGGCGCGACGATGCCTAGGAGGCACGACGGGGCTCAGCGGGCTCGACGGGGCCCATGGGGGGCGCGACGGGGCCTAGGAGGCGCAACGGGGCCCAGCGGGGGCGCGTTAGGGCCTAGGGGTCGCGACGGGGCCCAGCGGGCGCGACGGGGCCCAGGGGGAGCGCGACGGGGCCTAGGAGGCGCGACGGGGCCCAGCGGGCACGACGGGGCCCAGGGGGGGCGCGACGGGGCCTAACGAGCGCGACGGGGCCCAGGGGGGGCGCGACGGGGCCTAGGGGGCGCGACGGGGCCTAGGAGGCGCGACGGGCGGAAGCGGTAGGCGGGGGGATCCTAACCTAAGCGTGATACCATGTTAACGTAGAAACGAAGGATTACTAGAGGTGGAAACCTAGAACAAATACTAGTTGGTTGTACTCATTAGAAGCATACCTCAGTCTAGCCTATAACTTCTACATAGATAATATGTATAAGTTGACAGATTCATCATCCCTGCCTCCTGCATTAGGGCTGATTTTGCAGAATTGCCCTTGGAAGAAAGGCTGAAAATTGCAGCGTTACCTAAAAAAATTACGCTGATTATTCAGCGTTAGTCGAAAATTAAAGTCTGATGCAAATTCTGAACGGTCTTTTAGGAATTAGCGTGGACTTTTAATAACGGATTTCACGCTAGCCTAAGGGCGTGTTCTTGCCTCGAGGAAAACTTCTAGGCAGGACTTCGGGGCCAGGGTCTCAGATATCAGACGAAATCCGTCTGATGGTCTGAAAATCAGACCTGTTTTTTTGCTTTCATCTGATTTTTTGACGGGGTGAATTATTTCGTCTGATTGTCCATCTCAGTCATAAGATTTCGTCTGAAAGTTCAGACTTGGTGTATCTTTTCGTCTGAAATGTCAGATAGCGCGTACAATTTCGTCTGACAGCAATCGCCCATTATCCCACTGCGCCAATGGGTCACCTGCCCACTGGCCCAGACTCTGCCATCCTGGTCGTGGTCGGTGAGATTTTTTTGGCGAAGTCCTCGACTACCAGATACATTCCCCCACACCCCTAGAATACCTAGTTTTTCCGGCGCTGTGCCCCACACAAGAGATATTCCTCCACACACCCTTCGCAACAACAAATTTTCAGTTAAGTCTCCCACACCAGATTCATTCATCAACACACCACACCAACCCAAAAAATTCGGCGAAGTCCTTAACTGCAAGAAACATTCCCCCACACACCCCTTGCAGCCCGGTTTCCAGCTAAGTCCCTGCTACCCTGCTTCCACACTGTTTTTTCTGCTTCGTCGCTTGACTGGACTGGGGGCGGGGTGGAAGGAACCCTGAAATTGCTGGGCAAAGAGAGGGGGCTGCCTGCATGTGGCGCGTCGCGCCACCTGCGAGTGTTCCTGCCAGAATCCGAAGGCGTGTATCTTTTAGTTCCGGAACTCAGCAAGTCCCGGAACCGAGTCTGGTTACACATTTCGCAGCTCATTTCGACAGGGCTTCGAGAGCTCCTCCCCAGGCAATTTTTTCGCCAGTTCCGGAACTAGTTTCGGAACTTCCAGAAGCGGAACCGTAAGACACACGCCTTTATAGCGTTTTCCTACGGCCTCTGCACAGGCCTGCCTGTTCCCAGACTCCCACGCTTCAGTGCCATGCAATTACTCTTGGGCTCTTCTGCGTGGTTCAGACTGACGAGGTTCAGGGCATGTTCTAAACTTTTTCGCAGGCGCACCCTTTCCAGAGATGAGCGAGGCTCTACAGTTCGATTATGACCCGAGCAGAATTAAAGCGGTTGAGAATGTGATACTGAAACGAAGTGAGCTTGACAAGAAAACCTTTGAGCACGCTCTCAGCCGAGGACCGAGTCAGGGAATTGGGTAGCCTGGGAAGAGGTTCGTAAGAAAACGCTCTTCGCAGGAAACGAACAATTCGAGGCCGAAATTACGAGGGACGAATATTCCTGCGCAAAATTTTCGTCTGAATTTTAAGACCAGTGTAAAAGTTTCGTCTGAAATCTCAGACTCTTAGAAAAAATTCGTCTGATGGTCAGACCAAACTTTGAAACCCCGTCTGATTCTCAGACGGCCCTAAATCCTAGCTGAAACCCTGTTCGGGGCGTCTCGTATACCGGTACGGCTGAGATGGTCCAAAACTCCATATTTTTCGATATCGACCGTGTACAAAATGGCCCAATGTGCCGCCCTGATGTTTTCCCGAGGCAATAACACTGCATGAAGCACTTGAATTTTGCCAGTGATGTGGCGCGACATAAAATTTTGAGGTGTTTGCGCGCCAACCACCTCGGGAAAGCCAAGTTGCTTGCGCGCTAGCGTGGCGCGGCGCGCCCCCACCCCAGGGCAAAGGACTAGCGTGACTAGCTACAGTAGAGTCGAGACTTCGGCTCGAAGCCTCACGTTTGGGTTTTTTTTAATCCGGATTCTTCCAGAATTGAATATTGATGCCTCGGTTTGTGCATTTATAAGGTCCCACGGACGTGGAGCTCGTCGAAATAATAGAATAGGCTTTCAAACGGGCAAATTTCAGGCCCGTTTAGCCAATCCGGATTTTATTCCGGCAAGGGTTTCGCTGGAAAAATCTGGAATTTCACCGAAATTCCGGATTATTACCCATCTATCGTGAGCCCTGTTCGGCTCTCTGGGTGGGGGGAAGGTGTGAGGGGTGTTTCTGGTTGCTAAGGACTTGCACGAATTCTCCAAGGTTGCGGGGGTTACGAGAGGGGGTGTGACTGGTTTCCAAGTGTTGTGATATAATTGGTACTTAACATTTCTGTAAGTCGATTATGTGTAGTTAGTGCCGAATCCTACTGTAGAAGATAAGTCCGTAGGATGATGTCAGCAAATAGCGCTTGTCATAGGACAGTCGTTTCAGTCACGCGAACAGTCGCACCTCTTCAATAACATCTAGGGCGCATAGCGCGATAGTGACGAACAGGTACAATAGCGAATAGGTACTTTTCCTAGAACTATAAATCTCTGTTAGGTCTTTTCATTATTAACTTTGATTACCCACAAGTTCACGTACTCAGGTTATTCAACCTTGACCTTTGTATTTTACAAGACTTCCGCTGTCTTATTAGTCTACCATTCCAGCAAAGATCCTGGACCAACACTTGAGGATTTGCCAAGTGTTCGTGTTTATAGTTTTATACCTAGTCTATTACAACACCAGACGATTTACTTCACCAAGGACTTCAACAAAATCTTTTAGGTTGCCGAGGGTATGAGAGGAGTGTGACTGGTCGAGGACTTCAAGATTTTTTTCTTGGGGGTGTGTGTCATTGGATGCGGTAATCACGGGGGGACGCAAATCTCGCTGTACTCGGTTTCAGACTCCCCCCAAGACACATCGCTGAAACCTCAGCCTACACTCCAACAAAAACGCTGAAATCAACAGACATCACTATAAATAAAAGGCTGAATTTGTCAGCCTTACCTATCTAAAAAAGTCTTACAATTCAGCGTAGGTTCAAGAAAAAAGGCTGAATCAGCGAAAAAAGGCTGATATCTAGGGGCCTGATTGTATGTGTTCAATTCAATCCTCGACTTCGATGTGTTGGATTGGAACTTTTCCAAATAAATGTTTCCACCTTTAGCTCCTGCCAAATCTTGTTGACTGCTACACTGCACAAACGACAGAGCGTAACGGCATATTCCTACGAAGTAGCATCAGCACCGTAATGGATATTTGTTTATGCTGATTCGTACTTTGCGTAATATAACGCCACGCACCATCAAGGGCTCGCGCCAGGGCAGTACAAGCTCCACATAATGAGTTCATACTCTAGGCTTTTTTTTTGGGTTGCGGAGCAACCTGTTGCAATCGATTGGAAAAGTTTTTTTACACCCTCATTTTTTAATCTAAAAAAACTAGATAACTTTTTGTAATTCCGTAAGAAACATAATATACACCGCACAGGTATATAATAGAATACACCATAGGTGTAATATCGTAGCTGATTTTCTGGTAGACAACTATGTACATTCTTTTTCTATAACTCTGTATTTGCTCTCTGTGTTTTCTTTGTTTTTTTCGATGACAAAAACGAGCTATCCCCTCCCCAGTGCTAGCACGAAAAGGGTGTATTGTGATCTACCAACCTAAAGATTTAAAATATGTGCACATATTTTTAATTGACCCTCAAATTACAAACCGAGGAACTAATAGAAAACAAATGTCGATAATTTGTTTCCCATCTTTTCCTGTCTTTTTTCTTGCTCTCGAAAAATAGGATTTATATCTATTGCTTCCCCAATGGTAGCATGTGGGGGAAGTCAATAGAGTAGAGACGAAACAACACATGTGAATTCCAGAAAAATAGTTAGCACTCATCACTTCCTCTTCAAATAACTGCACTTACAAAGCGTGTCAAGAACCGTCTGTGAAATGATAAGAACAATCCACTTTTTAAGAACCACAAAATGCATTGCACAAAGCGAGGAAAAAAAACATTTAAAAACAAAGCAAACATTTAGCAGCAAAAACATAAAACACAAAGAAAACAATTAAACAAAATAGCAACCATCTCCTGTAGAAGTCCACAGTAAAAAATTCCCAACTTTTTCCAAAGAAGACCTGAACCACGAAGAATAAAAATCATTAAAAAAAAAGAAGGAGAAGGAAACCAAACCAGGTGAGGACGACTATGAGCGGAGTGATAAGTATGAGAAGCAGCGAGAACGGAGGTAAAAGAAAGGTAAGAGAAATAGAGAGAGGGGGAAATGGGGGGGAGGGGGAGATAGAGAGAGAGAGAGAGAGAGAGAGAGAGAGAGAGAGAGAGAGAGAGAGAGAGAGAGAGAGAGAGAGAGAGAGAGAAAGAGAGAGAGAGAAAGAGAGAGAGAGAGAGAGAGAGAGAGAGAGAGAGAGAGAGAGAGAGAGAGAGAGAGAGAGAGAGAGAGAAAGAGAGAGAGAGAGAGATTGAGAGAGAGAGAGAGATTGAGAGAGAGAGAGAGAAAGAGAGAG